ATTATTATTAATTGAGGTGTGTTCAGGTGCAGTTGTGTGGATTGATAGATCGTTTGATAGCGTTGGATTCGAAATCGATTTTGTGCTGTAGTATGAATAATTTGTATCGAATTGATGTGCCTTTGATGAGATTTAATTAATTTTTATTATTGTTATTATTTATTATTATTTATTATTGTTAATATTTATTATTTATTATTATTTATTATTGTTATTATTTATTGCATTTACTGTTATTGTTATTTTTGTTACCGTTTAAATTATATTTCGAGATGTGATTACGGTAGATGTGTTAAATTTTGTAAGTTGAAACTGTTATAACGGCACCTGGAACGGTCGTCGAGGTGTATCCTTTCAAATGGCATACGGTAGGGTGTCAACTTGTTATTTTTTATTATTATTTATTATTGTTGTTATTTATTTATTTATATTTATTTATATTTATTTATTTATTATTTATTTATTTATATTTATTATTATTATTGTTATTATTTGTTTATTTATTTATATTTATTTATTTATTTATTATTTATTTATTTATACAATCGTGGTGACTGTGGTATAGAATTGGTATAGCTGTGGTTCTGGTCTACCTGCGCTTCAGAGCTGACTTTCCAGTTTCCGATGGTACTTTGGTGGAGAAATTGGAAATTTTTGCANGCGTAATCAACCTGAAATAGGCGTTGGCGAAAAAAATCATCATAGGGATTAGGGGGGATGACCTGAAATCAAGTATGTACACGTTGTATTCGATGATCTGCAAATGTATTTATATTATTGTAGATCTCTGCGGCTGATCATTGGAATGTTAAATAATGCCACGAAAACAGTGTAAATTGGCAGTTGGTAACTATAAAACAGTGAAAATACAATAATGTGATAGAATATAATACAAATACAGTCGAATGAGTGAAATGAGGTTAGAGTGGGTTGATTTGATAAGGCACATTAGTAGATTGGGGTGGTCAGGCGCTAGACGGGGTCGGGTCAAGCGGTCCGGTTGACCCCGTGACCCCTACGCTTTTCGGTTCCCGTCCCGCGGGTAAATTTTACCCGCAGGTAAATTCTGTCCGCGAGCCCTTCCAGATCAACGTTTTATTCAGTCGCATTGTATCCACACGATTGTTGGTTGTATATGTTGTTGTTTTTGTTGTTGTTTCGTTGGTGCTTGCTTTGGAGACCGACAACGCGATGTTTTCAAAGTTTTTGGACCGAGCACGCGTAATATGAGTTGACCTGAAATTGGAATTTTTTTTAATTTCAGGTCAACGGCAAAAAAAAGATTTAATTTTTTCAAAAATTTTTCGTGAATTTTCGAATCGATTAACCGAATGGAGCCGTAATGAGAATGGCGAAAACGCAGGTGTCCAGGATGATCGCCGATTGAGTGGAATATTGTGTGCCGGCGGTTAGCTGAACCAGTTGTGGTACCAAGGCGGCCTGAAATTCAAATTTTTTTGAATTTCAGGTAGCCTGAAATAGGTGGGCGGCCGAGGGGAGTGTAATTTTTTTTGGGGCAGTGGAATGGAGAAAAGGCTGAGAAGCACACTGACCTATGTGCCGCATACCTGTACTGTAGCCTTTGATATGAATGCCAAACTGACGAATATTTGTTCAGAGCGATTGAAATTCGCACCAAACGTCAGAATATAGCAGCACAATATTCGTAGACAGATACCAATCGCTAGCACAATCATACCGCGTAATGCGAGTGCGTAATCAACCTGAAATAGACGTTGGCGAAAAAAATTCATCATAGAGATTAGGGGGGATGACCTGAAATCGTTTATGTACACCGTGTGTTCGGCGATCTGCAATTAAATCTGTCTTAATTGGGTGGACTGCATTTATTCAAAAATTACTGGAAAAAAATCGAGAAATGCAAAAATTCATTATGGGTGACCTGAAATTAATTTAAGGAAATTTTTTAAAAAATTAGATGTTTGGAGCGCTGACCGTGCTGAAATCAAAATCATAGCCGATCAATACGAACAGAGCCGGCATACCGATAAGTTTGGAGATCAGTATATAGGCGTTACTTTCTTTGGAGACCTGAAATTGGAAAAATTTCAAAAATCTCCCAGTTACGGGCAGCTGGCGGGAAGTGGGGAGGGTAGCAAGAGCGTTTATTGGTCAGTACTCAAAACTGTTAAGACCTGAAATTAATTCAAGGACGTGAAAATTAGTGATTGAACTGTTGATTTGATTATTTGATTTTTTCACCTATATTAGGTTATTTTTAAAATTAGTTTTTTCCTTTTCGAAATTTCTTTGGTTCACTCATTACCATTTCAGGTTTGAGGCCGTTTTTTAAAGTGGAAAATTTTTTAAAGCGTTATTTTTCTGACTTTTTCCGGATTATCGGTTTTCCAGT